CGCGGCTCCCTATGACCCGCGCCTGGCGGCCGGCAGCGCTCCGCCTCCTCCTCCTGCTGGGCGGTGAGCACAGCGCCCCGGGGCCCGGGCGGGAGGCGCGGGAGGCCCTGGAGGGGAGGGGGGCTGGACAGCCCAGCGGAATGGACCCCAGGGTGCCGTGTGGACCGGACCGACGTCCGGAGAAGCGCTGTCCTTCGGATGGTCCCTGGCCCCACCTCCCGGCCGGTGCTGTGCGAGCTGCTTCCCACTTGGGAAAAGCTGGGGTGCCCGGCGGAGAGGGCTTGCGCGATCTTGGTCTGGCGAGAAGGGAGGGAACTTTGGGCCCGGGTTTGAGTGGGAAGGAGTTGGTACCAGCCTCTCCCTTCGCAGCACTGAGGCATCCCGTGTGTGTGTGTGTGTGTGTGTGTGTGTGTGTGTGTGTGTGTGTGTGTTGGGGAGGATTATTCCCGTTTCTCTTCCAAGGTAGCTCTAACTTCCAAGGGTCTCAGCCCCACCCCACCCCGCACCCGCACAGGCCCCACTGCCCCAGCCCAGCCATCCCACTCTCCTCTCCCGTTTCTTCCCACAGCTGTCTTGAAGCCCCAGGAGTCTCTGGCTCAGACTTTTCCCACCCTAGACAGTACAGAGCCAGAAGGTAAGTACCCAGGATATGGGAGGGTGCTGTAGGGCAAGGAGAGTCAGTGTGTGGGTTCTTTTCCCACAGGCAGGTGCCAGCTGGTGCTTTACTAAATTGCCCCCTCCCCTTCTTCTTGGGGTTCCCTGTGAACCTTCTCCCTGTCCACCCACAAAGCTCCTGCCCAGCTCAGAACTAGCTCACCTCTCAGGTGGGTGAGAAGACCCCAGGAAAAGGTGTGTGTGGAAGTGTTTCTTAGGCTGGGATGGGATGTGGCACACACGGGAGTCACTGAAAGTCTTGAGCCTGAGTCTCCTCAGCCAGAGTGTCTTGTCAGGGACACTGTCTGGGAAGTTCTCATTTGAAGACAGAGACAGGGTTTCCACTTTGAAAGTACCTGGGCCAGAGGATTTGGAGGAGGGGTAGGGGTATGCTCACTGTGAGGCATCTGTACCCACAGGGAAGACGGTGGAGGAGAACTATGAGATGGATGTCCAGTTTTGCTGGAAGGGCTATAAGAATTATATGGACTCTGTGGAAAAGGATTGGTGCGACTGGGCCGTAATTAGCAGGTAGGGGTGGTGCTGGAGGGTGGCTCACGCCAGGGTTTGGAACTTCTCCTTGTGGGTGGATGTGTGGACCTTGAGTCTGGGTGGGGCACTCCTCTTTCTGGGCCCCCCTCTCCCTCACTCAAGTGTTCTACTGTCCCCAGACCGTACAGTGCCCTGCGAGACTGCTTGGAGCAGACTGCGGAAGAATACGGCCTGGGCTTCCCCAATCCCTGGGCTGAGAGGATCATTTTTGAGACTCACCAGATCCACTTTGCCAACTGCTCCCTGGAGCAGCCTACCTTCTCTGATCCCCCAGAAGACGTGCTCCTGGCCATGATCATCGCACCCATCTGCCTCATTCCCTTCCTTGTCACTATCGTGGTGTGGCAGAGTAAAGACAGTGAGGCCCAGGCCTAGGGTGGTATGGGCTTCTCAAGGGCCATCTTATTCATCTCCTCCCCCCAGGGCCCCTCCTTCCCCTCCCTACTTCCTTCTCTCATGCTTACCCCCACCAAAGAACCTTGGGTTGGTGGAAATGGACACTGGTGGTGACATGGCACAAGTTCTGTAATCTTCATAATAAATTTTTTTTTTGTACAACATCCCCCTGTCTATCCCAGTGGGCCCTGTGTCCTTCCCAGAGTCTCTGCCACTCCCATAGGCCTTCAGCTCTGGGCAGCAGAGCTGGAAGAATCTAGATGACCCACTCTTCTGTTCCCATCACCTTCCCCCTACTGCACCTCCTCCCCCCCATGAAGGCCATACCCCCATATTCTTTCCTCCCAGGGTGGGGCCTTTCCTGCCCCTATCCAAACCCAGCTCCAGGAAACAGGCAGGAAGAGGCTCCCTTCCTGTCTGGACAGCAGCTGGGGGCCTGTGATTGGGGAGGTGTGGGAGGAGGGGCAAGGGAGGAATCTCTGCTATGACTCCTGCAAAAAAGAAGGAAGACTACCCAGGAGCTCTGACTTTTCCTCTTCATGCCTCAGTTTACGCCTAGGCTCTAGGAAGAGGAACCCTGACCTGAACAACAGTAATCCATCCCTATAAACCTCAGGACTGAGGACAAAGGCAGGGGGGCCTCCTCTATTAGGTTCACCACTCCCCCTCCAGGTCCGTGGCCTGATTCATCCTACACTGTCCTGGACTGGGTGTGGCCTACAGCCTGGCCACATACTGCCCCCTAGTGTCCACTTGAGCCAACAACCAGAAGAGGTATGTGATCTATAATACAAGAACCTGAAGTCAAAGGAGCACTGGACCCTGGGATATCTCCAAGGCAACCACTAGTTTTTAGCCAGCTCTTCCATCAGCTTCCTGAGACATACCTATACTTCCTTAAGACAGCTTTCCATTTTCTAGGGACACCTAGCCCCTCTCTGCATCTCATCACTTACGTGTATGAACACCCCTATGTGCTCCCTGGAAAGTGAAGCCCAGTTCTCTCCAAGGAAACCCTACTCTCTGCCCTCCCTGGACACATCTGCCAGAACAACAGAAGCATCTACAAAACAAATTCATTCTCCACGGAGACACCCGTTTATTCCTTGTGGCACCCTGACCCTCTGTAGGGACTGTCCTCCTAGTTGCATAGCTGCCTCCCTGACTATGTATGTGTCCCTTTCCTGAGATACGCCTGTCTTTTCCATAGAGTGTTCTTCTTCCCAGAACATTCCTATTCGGTCTGTGAGACATACTTCTCTCAGAACACACCTGTCTAGAGACATATTTGCTCCTTAAGGATATGCTTTACCCGAGATAAAGCTTTGCTTTATTTCTATGCCTGTGTCTGTCTTCCCCTTTTCTTGGCACATGTTTGCCTTAATATATTTTTTTAAAGATATCTTTATTTATTTTATTTGTTATTATTATTTATGTTTTAATTTTACCAGAGAAAGACAGAGAGAGAGAGAGAGAGGGAAAGTGAGAAAGCAAGCCACCAGGTTCAGGACTTGAACCACAGTCAGCCACGTGGGAGTCCAGTACCTTAACCACCATACCACCTTGCTGGCCCCTGCCTTAGTATATTTTACAGATATACATCAAGGACCTGCGGCTATAAGACACCATGTGTAATGTATTATATTGGGAAGATAACTTAGATTGTTTCTGCCCTTGATGGCTTTTTTTTTTTTTTTGGAGAGATTTTCACTGTAGGGCATGTGCGCTCGCCAGACAGACAGAGAGAGACATAGAGACAGAAAGCGAGAAATCACCCCCCAGGGGGGATGGTCACGCCACAATCCCTTCTCCTCCATTTTCCTCTCGGGATCTTGGGCACGCACGCACACGCGCCCGGCGTGAGTTTAAGCCACCGGGTCCGGGACACGAACCGCGGTCGACTACATGGGAGTCCAGCGACACAGCCATTACGCTAACTGCTGGTTCCCTGCCCTTGATGGCTTTTATCTAGCTTGTTTATTTATACACATCATCTATTTTACATGTGTATGAATAAACAAAAAGAATGAAGTGAGGTGGCATGGAAATTAAAGTCATTGGACTCCCACAGGGCCAACTCTACAGTTCAACTCCTAGACCCAGCAGCTTGAAAAATATGCTGGGCATGTGTGCATGTATGACCAAAATCCCAAGAGGAGAATGGTAGGGAAGGGATTGCAGTGTGGCCATCCCTCCAGGGGATAATTTTCCTCTCTCTCTCTCTTTCTGGAGAATACGAAGGTTTTTTTTCTTTGTTTAGTTTACACGAGGTATGTGATCTATAATACAAGAACCTTTTTCCTTAAGGTGCATGTGCTCACCAGAGACAGAGACAGTAACAGGAAAAGTGAGAAATCATCTCCCGGGCGAAATGGCCATGCTGCAGTCTCTTTTCCTCCATTCTCCTCCCAGAATCTTGGGCATGTACGCACCTACACCCGGTGTGATGTTCAAACCACTGGATCCAGAACTCAAACCACTATGTGGGCTATGTGGGAGTCCAGTGATGTAACCTCTAAGCCATCTGCTGACCCAGAACACAAAAGGTGTTCTTTTTTAAAGAATTACTTATTTAATTTTTAAAATGTATCCATTTATTTTTAAATTTGACCAGAGTGTGACACACAGAGAGGCGGGGGGGAAGTGAGAAAGTAAACCACCAGGTCCAGAATTGAACCATGGTTGGCCATGTGGGAGTGTCTAGCATCTTAACCACCATGGCACCTACTGGTCCCTGTTTTTTTTTTTTTTTTTAAATAATTATTTATTTAACTTTATTTATTTTTATTTGACCAGAGAGGGACAGAGCAAAAGAGGTGGGGGTGGGGGGAAGCAAGCCACCAGGCCCAGTACTTGAAACGCAGTCGGTCATGTGGGAGTTCAGCGCCCTTAACTACCATGCCACCTGCTAGCCCCCAGAACACACAGTTTTTGAGCAAAAACTAAAAAACAAACAATGAAGTGCATGATGAGAGTCATGCAGGGAATACAAACCAAATGTTATCAGGTTACAAAGCAAGGAGTGATCACATCTGGCTGGGAAGAGCACAGGACGCCTGATCACAGGTGCGTGATGGCAGAGTTGGTACACGACTAAACCTGACCTGAAGTGCGTTCAGAAGAAGAGAGACTGGAAAAAGAGATGAATTAGGTAATTCTTGCAAAAATACAGGCTTGAGATAATGAAAACATGGACCAAGGGAGTGGTGAATGAAAAAATGGAAAATAATTTATAAAGCAGAGGATATAATTAAAAATGGAGGGGGGACCAGTCGATGGCTTAATGATTATGTCACTGGACTCAGAAGTAGTTGACCATGGTTTGAGTTCCAGACACTGCAGCTTAAAACTCACACCGGGTGTGTGTGTGTTCATGCCCAAGATCCCGAAAGGAGAATGGAGAAGAAGGAGTTGCAGTATGGTCATCCCCTCTGCGGGGTGATTTCTTACTTTCTGTCTCTCAGGTGAGCTCATGCGCCCTATAGCAAAAATCTCTTAAATAAATAAATAAATAAATGTAAAAACAGGGAGGGCATCAGCAAGACTTGGATATGAGGGAATGAGGAAGAGGACATATTAGAGGTGACCCAGACTTTGAGTTACTAGGACAAAGATGGTAATAATAATGGAAAAGAGTTATTAAGAGAAGCAAGCGCACACACCTTATACCAACAATAGCTCTCTCAAAAAAAAAGTCTTCTGCTCAAAAATGCAGTATGGAGACCCCCGGGACCCGCGCCGAGCAAGGAGGCGGCGGGCGGAGGGACCCTGCTGCGGGCCCCCACCATCCCCGGGACCCGTGCCAAGCGAGGCGGCGGGGGCCCCACCCGGGGCTCTGCCCGGCGTTCAGCTGCCTCTCCGGGGCAGGGGTGTGGCCTCCAGACCAGCAAGCTGAAGTCGAAAACAAGGATTGAGAACTTGCAACTATAAGCAACAGAAAGAATCTTTAGCTGTCTTAAACCAGTTGAGAAATATATTATATAGAAGGACTT